TTAGATCACCTGACTAATTCTTCTAAATACTGATACATGTTGTGCCTAACTTCATGCTAATTAGAAAAATTGCCACCATAAATTCCTTAAAGGTATACTCGAACTCAAGAATTCTAATTTTATAAATAAAACTTTGGCTATTCTTTATTTTTTTTATTTTTTGAACAACACTTTTAGGCTTATTCAAAATGAATTAAATCTCCCTATGTATGTTAAATATTTACCATTTTACCACTTTACTGGTAAAGATAAGAAACGAACTATTAAGTATTAACAAGACTTTTTTATTTTATTGAAAAGTCGAATTTCAATTACTCCATAAACGAAATACCTAAAATACCCCACATCACCGATCTATATAAAGTAGGGGTGTCAAACGTGTTGGATTAAAGGGTGACGGGTGAAAAATATATAAACTCGTACATGAAACGTTAATAAACAGGTAAAAAATATCAACATGACCCGTTTAATAAATAGGTATCACGACACGACTTGTTTAATTTAAAAAAAAATATTATTAACAAATTTTAAATACTCTACTTTTTTTTATTGTCAATTATACTTATCTCAAAAAATAAGAATTTTTAGTCAAATCTCATAAAAATAAGACTTTTAAGGTTTAAAAAAAAAAACAAGAGGCCATTACTTTTTATAGGCAATTCAGCCCTCCCATCTCTTCTCATTTTTCAACGTGGAACAAAAACAAAAAAACATTAGTTTACCTTTGTCTTTGAAGTGATTTATCTCTTTTTTTTTGTCTTGAAACTACTACTTTACTTATTTTTTTTTTATTGATTTCTTTATTTCTTTTTTTTTCTTGCTAATTTTTTAAAATAATTATTAATTTATTATTATATTAATTTTATTTAAACGGGTAAACGTGTGATAAACGGCTTGACAGATCTCACCCGAACACGACCTGTTTATTAAACGTGTTTGACGTGTCAACCTATTTATCACCCAAACCAGTTAAGATCTCACCCCAATTCACTTAATTTGTGTCGATTAATCGTGTCGTGTCGAATTTTAACAACCTTAATATAAAAAGCCTTGCATTTCATAGTTTAAGCGCCCAATCTCTCTCTCTCTAGCAAGAAAGAAGCCTTCACGCTATTTGCAACGTTAAGTACCACATCAACTTATCTATCTTTCTCTCTCTGTGTGTACATACATATGTGTGTGTGTGTGTTTGCGTATCTACGTGTTTATGTTCTTGTTTAATTTTTCTGACTTTTCTTTGCTATTGCAAAGATCATCCATGGTTGAAGGTATGAATAATGATGCCGATTTCGCTGAGCAAGAGGGGATTGAAAAGAGGAGGAAAACAAGAAACTAATGGCTGCGATTGAACGATTCAACAGCGATCAAGAATCCTTCAAGAAGAAGCTGAGTGAGTTCGATGACGATTGCAAAATTGTGGATCTTGAGGTTGAAGAAATCGAGAAGAAAATGACCGGAATGTTGAACGAAAGCAAAACGGGAGATGATGTCGAGAAGCAGTTGAATGATGATCTTGAAAATTCTGAGAATGCTAAAGATTTGTTTTTGATTTCCTTTTTGGTAGGAACAATCATGAAAGCTGAATACACAGATCCAGGGTGCAACGACAAAGTTGAAGCTGAAAATCCAGCCAAATTTTTAGGACCCAGTCCTCTTGCTCAACGAATAGACCGAAAAATGTATAAATATAAAGTAGCTTACAATTTAAATTTTAAAAGATAAACAAAATGATTTTTATTTTTTGCGGTTCAAATCACTTTAAATTTTAGTTTAAAGTTAATTTAACGGTTAATATTAACACCATAAATTTAATAGGAAAAATTGACCTTTAAGGATGTGTTTGGAGTGATTTTTAAAAGTATTACTACGAATTATTTTTCATAAGTACTTTAAAAAAAATAGTGTTTGAAAACCGCCACACCACTACATCTACCACCACTACCTCCACTGCTGTCGCCACCACCACCGCCGCCACCACCAACGCCACCCCCACCACTACCAGCAGCACCACCACCACCACCATCACTAGCACCACAACCATCGCGACCGTTGACACTGTCGACATCCGCATCGCCGTCGCCACCACCCCCGCCTCGGCCACCGCCACCACTCCCGCCTCTGCCACCGCCACCACCACCAACACCACCACAGTCATTGCCACCCACCACAACCATCGCCCGTATACTACCACCACCACTACTGCCCACAACCTCTCACCCTACTATAAAACGATGCTTAAATTCATTTATTTCTCCTCTATGTTTGTGATTTGATTTTGAATATGAATACAAATATGTTTTTTGTTTATCATTTTTTATTCTTCTGTGCCTTCAAGTACAAACAATAACTAGTGTATAAATACAAAAGATCAACTAGAGGAATCAAATTATGTAATGATGATGATGATCAATCCAACGATGTTATTCAATATGATTTTGAGACAAACATTGAAGAACTTGAATTGGATCACCTGATTGAGGTTCGGACTCGGGTCACTGGCATGATGGAAGAGGTCGTAGCAAAGTTTCAGCAGTTGAAATTAGAACTTGCAGAGCTCGACCAAAGTATTTTTGAGGCACAAACGAATCTTGATCTTGCGAATATCAGTACCAATGCTCTACTAACCGGTGATACTGCACTAGAAGATGTGGATGAGAAGTTGAAAGATCAATCCAACAATGTTACTCAATCTGATTTTCAAACAAACATTGCAGGACCGGAAGAAGAGTCGTACAAATTAACAAGAAAACTTGAAGAAAATGTAGAGAGGAAAACATTAGATCGATCTAAGGATAGCATTGATTGTGATCATTTTACTGATACTAAGGAACCGGAATTTGAGAAAAGCCTAGAGGAATTCAAGGGGAAAGAAGAGAATGTGATGAAAAAGGAGTTAGATGAGAAGCAAAAGAAAAACAATATTCAATATTCAATCGGATCGAGAATCCGAGGCCATAGACCTGAATCACCTGATTGAGCGTCAGACTCGGCTCACAGGCAAGATGGAAGAGGTCCTAGCAAAGTTTCAACAGTTGAAATTTGAACTTGCAAAGCTCGAGCAAAGAATTTTTGAGGCGCAACTAAAGATTCTTGATCTTGCGAAAATCAGTAACAAGAACTAGCTGATCAGAAACTAAGAGACGAAATTGAGTCAGATATAGAAAGCAGAATGTAGAACACCACAGAAAAAATGGAATCAAGACTGAATAAGCAGATTGGGGGCGGAGCAGAGGATTCGAAGAAGACGACCGAGGAAGATGATTTGAAGCAGATCTGGTCCACCATTCATGGGGTTACTGGAGATTTGGCAGAAGTAAGTGCTCTGTTCTGCATCATACAGAAGACAAACAAAGCTTGAACTGGTTAGATAGTTTAGATTGCATTACTCAATTTTGAAGTATATGATCTCTTAATTGTTTTGGACTATTCTTTGATTAGTGATATTTTAGCTACTACATACATACATGTATATGCTGAAGTGTAGATATAGATCAAGAATCTCTCATTTCCTGATCATAATAGAGAATGACTTTTAGCTTTCCCCATATTGTTTCTGTAAAGGCCGTTTTTAGGATAGACGACTAGGGGAATCGAATATTTAAATTTTATCTTCCACGTATTTTTTCTTCTCAACATCATCTCCTCACACCAATCACTTCTCCCTTAACGTTACCCTGTCCGTGCACACAGCCGCCTGCACCCATCACGGCCCCTCACCTGCACCCATCACCTCCCTTCTTTTCCTCCACTCCTTTGGCTATTTTTTTTTTACCTTCCTCTTCATTTACTCTTCACTCCTTTCTCTTTGTCTCTGTCTCTGTTATCAGCCACCAACTTCGCTGCAGTCACAGCCACTGCTACAGCCGACCACCGCCACTGCCACCGCTATATCCAGGTATTCCCCCCCCTCCCCCCCCCCAAAAAAACCCTTCTTCCCCCAACCCTTTAAAATGTGAAGTGATTGTATCTTCGTTCAAGATTCACCATCAATCCCGATTTATCTTTGTTCGAGATTTATGGCCATGAGGAGGCTTAATAAATCAGCTGGGAATCTTGAAATTATGGGTGCTCCACTCACAGGGACAGATCTGAGAGCTTATGTAATGTCTGGAGGTGGTGTTACTTTGAAGAAATTTAAGCCAGGGCTTCGGGGCAAACGATGTTTTCTTATCTTCCCAATTCATGGTTCTGAGAGAAAAGGCTTAGTAAGCGTTGAAGTCAAGAATAAGAAAGCCCGGGTTTGCTTTGATACTTGCTGCCAATATTTTTCCATATTATGAAGCAAGAAATATTTCTGTGATTGAGTAATTCGCCTCTCTGTGTTCATTTTTCTTCCTGCCTGAACCTCCTCATGTGAGTTGTAACATTTCTAGGAAGTGTGTTGAAGTTCCACAAAACTATGGCCTATATGTTTTCTTGAAGTATATAAGATATATGTTTGATGGGACACTTCTAGAACGCAACAAATGACGACACGTGTTCTCGGTACCGATGAAACATCTCTGCTATGGTCTTAACACATGTCATTGACATCCTTAGCGCCTCCCGCCAAGGAATAATTCTCGGGGCCGAGGGACTCCGAGGCGGCATGGATGACACATATCCCTTGGCTCAGAATGATGATATTGGTCCCGATGTGTGTATGTTTCCTCGGCGCTGTGGTGTATCTATTGGAATGTGGACTTTTTCACTCCTACAAGAGCCGGTGATTAGCATAGGCTAGACTAGCCATCATAACAACGTTCTATTCAATGGTGTCAGGAGGCACAAGAATGCAGAAGATTCAACCAAGGAGAAATAGACACATGACATGAGGTGTCAGATCAAAGACAAAAAAATCAGAATGCCCCTACTGACACATGACTTGATCAAACAAATATTTAATGTATCCTCTTCCTGATGAGACAACATTTAAGGCATGGGGGCTGAGAAGTGAAAGACATTAAATGCTCTCATGCCTGGGCATTTAATACTCCCTCGCCTAGGAAAGGGCATTGAATACTCTGCAGGCCGAGGGGAAAACGTTAATTGCTCGGCGTCCCGAACCTGAATGCATTCCCCACTAAAGGAAAGGGGGCACACTGCCCCATCTCTAATGATTGCCTACTAGCTATATTATCAGCAATGATAAACTTTTGAAGGTATAAATAGTCCTCAAAAATATATTGTAAAGGTACGCAAGAACTTCTGAAAAGAACTATAGTGCTTTCTTCTTCCTCTCTCTCAATGAACTGACTTGAGCATCGGAGAAGATACGCCGAAGAGCACTCCGGTACCCTTCTAACCTGTTTTTCTGTATTACAAGATCCCCTATAGTCTTCCAGGACCGGTGAGGCGACCCAACAAACAATTCATTACTAGTTCTTAGGGTTCCTTTGTCCCTCTCAACCTATTTCTTATTGTTAAAACCTACTTTCGGATGGGTTGAAACTCTACTAGAGACAATCAGAGATTCTGAAAATAAATCTTCTGTTTTGTCAGAATTACTGTCTTATCGAATCACAGTTTATCGTGGAAGAGAGTTATTTCTACTTTTACTGTTATGTGAAAATCAGTACGCACAATGTTCATACTGGTACAGTCTTTTCTTTCAACTTATCTCCATGAGACGTACAGATAGCACAGGTCAGCCCCCAAAACACATATGAACAAATAAAAAACAAGAGGGTGAGTGAGCACCGGAACCTGAAATTTTATACAAGTGGGAGTGCTACTAGAGCATAATTTAAACAGCAAACGTAAACATACTGTTATTTTTTTTTTTGGTTTAGGAGTCAAAAAGGTATGTATGGGAGAGGCGTGATATAGATTGAACACCATAAACACACACATGCTAACTCCAATACACCCATTTGATCATGTGAGAAAGTAGTCAAATGGAAGGGAGTTGGGGGAGTTCTTCATTATCTTTGGGGACTGAAATCTATTTTCCAGACCTCGAAAGGAGACCACGTAGCATTAGTTAAGGAAGACACAGGAGCTGTGTTGGTGAAGACACAAGAACTGTGTTGCCCAAATTCTGTTTTGTTTTAGTTAAGGAAGACACTTGAGCTGTGTTGCCCAAATTCTATTTTGTTATAGTTTTGTGATTCATTTTCATATATCTATAGTTGATAATTGCTTCCAAGTTCATGCAATTAATTGGTTTTCTGGCAGAATAAGCATTTGCAATTCTTGATGGACTTCTTTATATAGTTAGAGACAACCAATTTGAGGATTCTGCTTTGGGATTGCAATTCTATTGTGTTGATTTTTGTTGTGATCTTCTGGGCATTTGTTGCAGTGGCAGTTGAGTTTTTGAAATTGTGATCTTCTTGCTTTAAACTCCTTGAAACTGAGTTTTTGAGTATGCTCACAGTTTTGTTAGTTTTCCTTTTCTGGCTTGCTCGCAAGATGTTTGAAAAAATGACTGACAGGGTTTGGTTTTTTGGTTTTATGTGGGTAATGGGTTGTATGATTTTTGCATAATTCCTTCCTTGGATTTTGATTGTTTTTTAGACTAATTTATAATTGAGCACATTATTGTAAACTCCTTTTGGTTCAATAACATTTTAACTATTGTTGTTTTTCAATACTTAATTCTATTTGTTGGTTTTTTATACCTACTTTTTTTTGTCCGTTGTGTTATTACTTCACAAACATCCATTTTTATTCTTACTTCTTAGCACCAATGTCCATTTGTTGATTATTTCGTGTTCAAATTCAATGTTCGATTTTTTTAGATGCACTGTGCCGTCAGCCACGAGTTATCCCTAGTATATATATATATATCTTATGATTTTGATATTTCTATTCTTCTTTTGGAATATCAATAAATCTTTCTACGAGAATATAACAATTGACCATGGATTTTTTTTTGGTCATAATTGACCATGGACTGAAGATGCCCAATTATCGCTTATAACTTAATATTTTTGTGTATTAAGTTCACTGTGCACCTAATGCTTTCCCACCTAACTACCAAAGTTTTTCAATGGTCTAACTTTTTTTCAAAGGAAAGAAGGAAGGGTTTCAAATTTAATAGTCCAACTTTTTTTCAAATGAAGGAAAGGCGGGTTAAGCGGGTGGGTTTGGGGGCCGGGTTTTTTTAGGACAGACTGTTGAGCCGAGTTTCGGGTCGGATAATTGTTTTGGGGGTAAACTTAAGTCCTCTTTTGAAAGATATTGGGTTCAAACGGGCCAACTATCAAACCTATCGTGTTCCGAGCCAAATAATGAGACACATGGACAATCCAACCTATGAACACCCCTAATCGCTTATAGCAGCATCTAGAAGAAGTATGCACATGAGATCCACCATTTACTAGTGACCCCTACCCATATACCGTGGATGATTTTCCATTTAATTGAATAAAAAATGTAATATAGAGGATCCCAGTCTATTTTTTTCTATGAAGAAAAGTGATATACCTAGACAGTTAAAAGAGAATCAGTTGATGTCTCTAATAATATGAATGTGTTATTATTGATTTTCCATGGCCATTTAAGGAAGTTGAATTAATTATGCCCTTATTTCCACCTCCTTCTTTGTTACGGTCGAACATCAATTAAGTATTGGATTGAATGTGAATATAGACTTTTGAAAATCCTTCCTTTTCAACTCGATTTTTAAGGGTGAATTCTATGCACCGGTTCGTATCATTTGATATAAAGTCTGTCACCATGTCGAGTATAAAATTATAAGTATTATGGGCAGTCGCACCATTGTGAAATCCATTATCATCCATTGAATCATTGTCAATAAAGTGGATCATCTCAAGTGTCAACTATAAATGTGGTGTGGTATGTGTCAGCATGGATGAATTCTAGTAATTATTTGAGATAGCAACACCAGGTTGAGCTTTGCTGAGATTCCTAAAAGAAGGAATGAAGATAGAAAGGGAGCCGATGGTGTACTCAGCTAACCCCCTCCAATGATTAAGCCAGTTGGCGCTCAAGATTAACAAGATAAGTGTACAATACAAAGTTAGTTTAGTATTTATATCTGTTATTCTGTTTTAATGGGATATTTATACATTCAAATGGATGAAGTGACAACCACTCG